ACTGGATAGCTAAGTGTCAAATCTGGACTGGTTTTATGAATAGACTCCCGTGTAGGTTGGTCCTGCTCCTACCGACATCTGGGAAAAACTTCCAGGGACCCAGGTAGGAGGGTCCCAAACTCTGTCCTCTTTTCCGGGAGTGAAAAAAAAAAACTCAACACTCCAAAGGTAAATCCTCTGTCCACCACCCCAGTGACTGGGAACTGGGTATTGTAAGGATTCTCAAGCTCCACTAGTAGAAGTAAGGGGGAACATAAGTGTTTGTGATTCCTGAGGAACAGGTCTCCAGAGACAATGCAACAGATGAACCATGTTCCCTAATTTTTAAAAGCAAACTGATCTCGACTGATTCACCTTTAAAATAAGCAAGGACCAGCAAAATCCCCTTTAGCTTTACTCATAATAGTCCATGAGTAGCAGCCCATTAGAAATATTGTAATATGATATCTCCATCCAGAATTGCATCCAGATAGTCTTATGGAACACCTTATCTCGACAGAACCCATTGCAACCAGGAACCAATATAAAGGTTGATAGTGCTGAATTTGAATACAAGAATACCCGACTGGGCAACATTCACCATTGAGTGGGATTAAAAAATCAATAGGGACCCCTAGAAGAGAAAGGAACAATAACTGTACATCAGATAACACGTTACTCACCACCCTGTTAACATCTAGTAGAGGTAGTCAACACAGCCACAAGGGAAAGATGAAGTCCCTTCAAAGAGGAAACTGCCAGTTTGTGAAGGTAAGGAGATATGAACATGTCAGGAGAGGTCCATATACTGGCTCACAAAATATCTCCTTAGAATTAGGATGGAAACAATTAAGAGAACCAATGGAATGATCAGTGGAACGAGGGGGTCTCGAGACACGAGGGTATGAACATGCAGAAGTACAAGTGGAATAGGGTCAAGGAGCCAAAGATGATAAAGAAGACTGCAAATGTGCTGTATCAACTCTGGCTTCTAAAGATTCTGGAATTCCAGCAAATAAATAAGTCCGAAGAAAAGGTGCTTCCTGTAAATCTTGGAGGGCAGAAGAAGGTAAGCAAATACCCTCCAAAAATGCATCATGACTCAACAAGTTCCAGCAACAGATTAACCACGACACCAAGGCAAGTCCTGAAGAGGACAAACGTGCTATAATACTGACCAGTAAATTGTTGAGGCGATCGGCGATATGCTTCAGACAAAAGTTGAAGGGAAGAGAAGTACCTTAAAACAGAGTCAAACGAATCCGCCAAAACTGCGACCTGTTAAGAGAGATGACAGGTTCGTACCTGGCACCCCATAGATCCAACCTTTGAGTGTAAAAATATATATCATCCTGATGATGATACGCCAGGGCATGTTGTTCAGATAATGGAAGAGGGAAGGCATAGTGATACCCTCACGTAATTGTGTTGCAAACCTCCCCACATGCACAGCAATATCAGGAGGAGGAAACTAAGTAATCCCCTTGAGAATGATCAGACAACAAAGCAGGGGTAGACTCAAAAGCAACTGGTTGCATCTCCAAAACTTCACAAACATGTGTAACTAACTGCTGAAAAAGGGTCAGAAGGTGACTGATCAGCTGAGTCTTCAGGAGAGGAAGTCCTAGTGAAAGAAGGGGTAGAAACAAAGTCTAAATTCTCCCCAGAATATCCTGTTTCAGAATGGAAATTCAAATCAGCACCTCCCGGAGAGATATCCCCGGGCCGCATGAAGGACTCGATCTCACCCCAATCAGGTCATAGACAGCTTCCATGGAGAGTGGCTCCACTCCTGACTACTGACCACCTGAGACCTCTGAGAAATAAGAAATTAAGCCCAATAAAGGGAGGCATACATTAGCATCTTACCCCAAATACAGAGGAACCAAGTAAGAAGGGATAGAGCAGAAGTAGTAATTGAATTTGTAAAAACGTGGCACTAGATAAGGAAATATAAGTTAAGGGATCCACTACTCATGCAGGTAAGAGGAATTCAAAAGACTTGTAATCAAAGAATGAAAAATGGCTCTGAGCTTGGATAAAATAGTCAAGAAGATGAGGAGGATGAGGCATGTTATAACAGGTGTGCAATCATTTGAAAAACTAGTCTGTATGGGCCTTAATGTCAGGTGAAAGAAGAAAGACAAAGTATTATTAAGTAAGTATTTCATGTAGTAAAGCACAGGAGGAATCATAAGACAATGGGGAAAGAGAAAAACATACTTGCAAAATTATGTCAAGGAAAAGGTTTGAAAGGTGAGGATTTTCCTCCACAGATAAAGATATGCCTAGAGCAAATCCTGATAGGGATATAGCCGGTGAAATCATCAACACCTTGATTATGTTCAGACTAGGAAGAAAGAATACCAGCTGAATGAACAGGAAGAGTAAACCGAATATCCATGAAGGAACCTACGACAGGGCAAACAATGGCTGTCACATTCCCCACAGACAACGAGCCCCCATCAACCACAATAGAAGCAGGTTCCATGTTAGGAGCATTGTCACTATCATGGGACAAGGCAGAAGTTACTGTCACTTGAGAATTCAAAAGCAGTAAGCAGGAATTTTTTTTCTTCTCTTTAGTAATAAAAACGGTTAAAGTTGAACGAAATTTATTATGTCCACCATATCCATTGTCAATGATGCATTTCATTCAATACTGAAGCTGATCAGGGTGCCTTGGATACAATAAACACAGTAATAGTTTCAAGAAATATAACTGAATATAATCATGCTTCATTAACAAGTGTCATTCACATAATAAAAAAAGTATGATATCAGTATGCATATTACCCTGCAATACGATCACATTTTGGAAGGGGTCCTGGTCCATACTTAAAGGCATACAGTGCTACTCTAGAATAGCTTAAGGACTCACATCCAATCCTAGATTTGACAGCAAAAAGCAAAATACTTCTAGAGAAAAGTTATGCAATTAATATGCTGTGACACATTTTATTTTTAATGACACATGTTCAGAATGGAAAATATTTTTTTTTGCATTAAAAAAAATGACATCACTACAAGAAGACATATCTCCTGATGAAAAAACAAAATGTATACAGTTGTAAACTAAGAGGCCTGTAAATTATCAGACAAAATATGATAAATTATACATTTTAATACTAAATAGCTTGTGAGGTACCTGCTAAAGTACAAATTTATATGTGCAGACTTTGGTGATAATTGATAAAAGAATTCCAATAACAGGTTAAAATATTTTCAGGTTAATGATAATTATTAAAGCAGTTTTTAAAAATAATACTTCCCTGAATCTAATTTAAAATTTCAGTGAGAAAGAAATGTTAAAAATCAAGATTTATAACACTTTCACTTATTTAAAAACATCATGAATAAAATATATGAAATTTAATAAAAAACAGACATATAATTAACTAATCTTACATGATACTCTTTATTCCTAAACTACAGGAAAAGTTTCAATGATACATGTATTAATGTTAAGCAAATTAGAATATAACACTAATACTGTTGAATTTGCATTACTTTGAAGTATAATTATTCCAGGCATATTTTAATCAAAAAAAGGAAGTAAACTAATTATAAAATAATGAAATATAAGGATACTTACTTTTTAGAAAGTGTTCTACTGCAGTCTATTAAAATGTGCATACAGTGTATACAGATTAGGCCAATGACAAGCATTCCTATGGATCCCACCTAGATCCATGCATAAAATTAACTAAAAAAGTAATGAAACAAATATATACAATATATATTTGTCATGAGTATTAGCCTTTACAATCACCTGAGTACAATTACTAATTAGTTACTTTCTTCTTATTATTATTAGATACTTATTAACAACTAATTTATACCACTACATGAATATTATCAGTAACCAGGATTCAATCTTAGGTTATATTGTTAGAAAGACAGTTGTGCTATTCATTCATTCAAAATTTCAACCCTTTTGGACATAACTGAACTAACTACTCAGATGTTTGAAGTGGAAGGGTATCTAGGCTTTACTGGCTTGTGTGCTAGGTTGGCTGAATGAATTGTCAGTTAATTAGATGTAGAAGGCTACTTTTATCTCTACCATTCTTAGATGTTGTTCATATCTCAATATTTTAGTATCATTCTATGTTATAGTAAGAAGTTTGACATGACTGGCTATTACAGATAATTCAGTATTAAGGATTTGTGTGTCTATTGTGTTCTTAAATTCTGACTTTTGCTGTTATTTTGTTTCTCCAAGAAACAGGAGTCAACATTCACAAGGGATGTTATAAATAGTTTTTACTCTCCATTGAATCTTTGGGTTGTTTGGTGAGCACTAACTGCAATTGGATTGTGTTATGGCTTCTGAAATCTATTCTGAATTTATACTTTTCTTTATCAGTTGTTCTGAGAATCCATTGTTTTTATTTATACCTCTTACCATTTTCTGTATTAAAAGCCTTGTTCTTTCTTAAGGCTAGTCAGTCTATGACACCTATTTTTACACAGTTGATGTGGTTTGTGGTATATGAATTATGTATCTTGGTAACCATCAAAGCTAAAAATGAATGCTTGTTTTAGTTTTTTCTTTTCTGTTATGAATTGTATCAATGGATGTTGTTGCTAGTCTTTTTAGGACTAGAATGGCTTTAACTGATTTAGTTCTTTATTTACATACTAATTTATTGATCTACTGTGAAGTTTCTTTGTACACAATATTTTTGTCTTGCTGTCAGGAGGAAAGGAGAAGAAAAGATTATGAGCAGAGAAGCAAATGAAAGCTCTACGAAGTTTTAAGTCATCTAAATACATAATTGATCATGGATAGAATGATTAGGAGATGTTCTCACATGAAAGAGAAATGTAAATAATAGCTCTCTTGATCACACATTACCAAAGAAATCTAACCTTTTCAATTTGAGACCAACTGGTCATCATGTTTGCCCAAAATTGCTATATTTGTCACTTTGGCTTCAATTTACAGCCTCGAAACAGCTTCTGAGGCCACAGCCACATAGCTCATGTTACTTTCCACACAAAGTTATATCTGTTCCTCAAGTTTGGAGTTTGTAGCTTTAAAGATGTGGTTGTGCATAAGGAACAAACCCAGAGAGAGAGAGAGAGAGAAAGAGTGAGCTTATATATATATATATATAGATAATTTTGAATTTGTTGAAAAATTACCAAGAAAATTAGAGTTTTATTTCTTTAGATGTGGTAGTTCTGTATCCAAGTGTTGAACATGAATACAGACTTAAAGCTGTGGAAAGTCTGCTAGATAAATATAAAGAATTCACCACATGTTTTATAAAGGTTTCGTCTTAAAAGGTTTAGATATAGTTTAAACATTTTTTTTTACTTATGAGAAGTAAATCTTTCACTAAATGACTGGTACAGCAATAGGCACAAAAGTCATCACAACTTAAGCTAATATCACTGTGGTATTTTTTAAAATTACAATTATGTAATATACTACCTTAACTATTTTGAAGATAATGTTGGAATTTTAGATTTAATAAACAAGGAAATGAAGTTTACCTTCAAAAGATTAATAAAAATTTGTCCTTTTTTAGATGTGTTGGAAAGTGTTTCACCAGAAAATGATATTGTAACTGATATTTTTTAACAACCCACAAACTGTCACCGATGTGGAAATTTTTTAATAATCATTCGAAATATATAAAATTAAATGTTCCTGCAAATCTTGCAAGTAGCTCATATCGTTTGGTTTCCAACGAAGAAACAAGAGTTAATTTTTAGTTCAGTGTCACTATCCAGAAAAAGTTATATTAAGAGATTTTGAAATTGCTAAAAATAACTTCTTTGATAAAAAACATTTAAACAAAAGATTAGTGAACATAAAGAGAATTCTATACCTTTTATTGTGACTCATTGACCAAATATAAATATTGATATTTCATTTGTTAATACACAATTAGAACAAATAGTTGATAAAAAACTGAAAGATCTATTCAAAAATAATAAAATTATTTTATTAAGAAGGCGACCTAAAAATTTGTAAAGATTATTGAATAAACCTATAAAAAAGATCTTTCAAAAGAAGGTATCTTCATTTGTGACAGAAATAGCTCTACCTTATGTAATTTATATTATATGAAATCTACCAAAATAAAGAT